CCCCTCCTTGATCCATTTTGATTTAAGTTTTGTGCATGGCGAGAGAAGGATATTCAGTTTCATTTTGTTGCATATGGATTTCCAGTTTCCCCAGCACCATTTGTTGAAGATGCTATCCTTCCTCCATTGCATGCTTTTAGTTCCTTTATCAAATATAAGATAGTTGTAACTTTGTGGATTAGTCTCTGTGTCCTCTGTTCTGTACCATTGGTCCATCCGCCTGTTTTGGTACCAGTACCATGCTGTTTTTGTTACTATTGCTCTGTAGTATAGTTTGAAATCTGGTATCGCTATGCCGCCTGATTCACCTTTCCTGCTTAGAATTGTTTTTGCTATTCTGTAATCTGCCTCCTTTCTCTCGTAGCTTTTAATATTTTCTCCTTGTTCTGTATGTTGGCTATCTTCATAATTATATGTCTTGGAGTCGGTCTATTACGGTTTTGAATGTTTGGGGTCCTGTAGGCTTCCAGTATTTGGCAATCCATTCCATCTTTCATCTCTGGGAAGTTTTCTAGGATTATTTCATTTAATAGGTTGTCCATTCCTTTGGTTTGAACCTCTATACTTTCTTCTATCCCAATGACTCTCAAGTTTGGTTTTTTTATGACATCCCATAACTCTTGGATAGATTGCTCGTGAGATTTAAGCATCCTTTCTGTGTTAACTATATTCTTTTCAAGTTGATAAACTTTGTCTTCATTATCTGATGTTCTGACTTCTACTTGATCTAGTCTATTTGTAATATTCTCTCTCTGCCCGCCGCCATGTTGAATCATAATCTAAAAGTTTATTTTTAATTTGGTTTATGGTTTCCTGCATTTCTAGGATTACTGTTTGATTTTTTTTAAATCTCTATCTCCTGGTAAAGCTCGTTCTTTGCAGTTTGAATTTATTTGTTTAATTCGTTTTCGAAATATACTTTCATTGCTTGGACTTGCTGTCTCATGTCTTCTCTAATATTCTGTTCCATCTGAGTTAGGTATGCCTTGAGTTCTTTCCCTGTCCATGTTTCTGATGCTTCTAGGTCCTCCTGTAGATTTAAGTTGTCCTGCATTGTTTGTAATCCTTTTTTCCCTTGTTTTTTTTCATGTTGTTCACGTTACTCTCCAGCTCTGTTTGACTGCTGTGTAACTGCTTTCTCCTATAAATTTGTTTTGGTTTTGTATATCTCTGTTGTCTCTCCTTTGTGGTGGGAGATTATGCCTAGAAATGTTGGGCTTTATTGTACTTTAAAGCTGATTCATTCAATTCATAAAAGCCTTCCGGGTTCCGTATGCATAGTGATTTGTTGTTTGTTCTTAGGACTTTATGTTTAGATTAGGTGCTATGATGGTATGAGGGTTAGTATGTCTTGGCTACTTTAGAAGGTTGCTCTACTGAAGGGGGATACTAACAGGCGATTGGATGAGGGTGTTGGTAGTAGCTAGGTATTTAGAAGCCCTATAGACAGCCTCGAAACATTCATCTATTTGCATTTAGATAATTACACATAATGGAAGACGTAATGCTTGGGATGAAAGTTGGGGGGTAGGGGAAGGAAGGTGCTCTTAAAAAGAAAGAAGGAGAGAGAGATAGATAGATTAGAGGAGAATGAAAAGAACAATAAAACTGCTAAAGTGGATTCCGCTGGGAAGGAATTCTGTTGGCGGAACTCCGGTGATGTCACCTCTCTGCTATGGCGGGGCCCCAGGCTCCTTGCCAGAGTGTCCGAAGGGAGGGGTGGGACTGGTCCGTCCCTGGTTGGCCTCAGCTCCCGGTTCGCTATTTCATGAAGGCTTGGCTAAAGACCTCTTCCTGCCAAGCTGCGTCTCAGAGGCTAGCCACCCGGTCACGGTGGCTACGGGCGGGCGGCTGCACCGCGGCGCTCGGACAGCGGCTGGTAGTTCTGCACCTCTGTGTCTCGGGGCGGGGATTCACTCGTCTGGGGCAAAGTGTCACTGCCAAAAATCCTAGTAACTCCCGGCCGGTCTCTCTTCAGTGGAATTTTGCTAGGAGATTCTCCACAGGTAGAATCTAAGCGTATCTATGCATCTCTCTGACCCCATCACTGAGGGGGTACTGAAAGCGCTGCCTCTCCGCCCGCCGCCATGTTGGATCATAATCCAAAAGTTTTTTTTTTTAAACTTTCATAAAGTACATTTGTTTAACCTGATACGTAAACTCAAAAACTTGAATTTGAACCCCCAAACTAAACTACAGGAAAAGGCCAAGATAAAAAGCAACAAGCAAGGGGACTGGGGTTGTGGCTCAGAAGTAAAATGCTTGCCTAGCAGTGTAAGGGCCTGGGTTTGATCCTTAGCACCACATATAAATAAATAAAATAAAGGTATTGTGTCCAACTATAAGTAAAAAATAAATTTTAAAAAAAGCAACAAGCAGGGATGGTGGCACGTGCCTATAATCCCAGCCATGTGGAAGTCTGAGGCAGGAAGGGTACAAGTTCAAGGACATCTGGGCAACTTAGCAAGACTATGTCTCAAAATAAAGAATAAAGAGGACTGGTGATATAACTCAGTGGCAGAGTACCCCTGGATTCTATCCCCAGTAACCTCCCCAGACCCCCTAAAAAGCAACAACTATAGTAACTCTGAGTAAAATATATAACCACTGATAGCCCATAGACATCTACGTGTTTTCCATTACATGGTTCTAAACTCTTGTGAAAAATCTCCAAAAATAAGGGCAGGCACATAAACAGATTTCCAATACTTCTTTGAATGGAAACACTGGTTGTTCTGCCACTTGGGCTACCTGATCCAGCAGGTCTAATAGTAACTGAAGTGTGTTAACAGACAGTGATGTTTTACAAAGCCTTTGGCAGACCCTAATCATAAAAAATCATACAAAACTCTAGGATTTTCACAGAAAAGTTCCACCATCCTCTGTAGATAATAATCCTTCTTGAGAAAGTGCTTTTGGTTTTGTCTAAACACTTGACCACAGGTCATTAAGTTACCATGCCAACTACCCATTATTAATTGGGTGCTATCTGACTCACCAATCCACAAAACTGGGTGTGTACAGTAGCCTCCTTTCATCAAGAGGAAGTATATTATAGAAGATCAGGACTGTAGGTCCTGAAGGCACATAGAAGTTACAGAGGCAAGTGGTTTGCAATGCCTACTCCCACTAAATTTCCTTCTTCCTCTCAATCTGCACCGATGGCCACATGGAGAGTACACTATGACCAGTTGATCAAAGAAGAAAAACTACAGATATGATTTACAAATGGTTCTGTAGAACATTCTAGCACCATTTATCTAGGAGAGATGGCCAGATATATGGATCTATGCTGCTTCATGTGCAATAACTAATGGTTTGGCTGGATGGTCAGAAAAAGGAGCTTAGAAGAAAATATATGTGAATGGAACATTCCAAAAAAGCTCAGAGGGTAAAGAAGTTGAAGAAACATCTTTATTCTCATATTTATTATAGCATATTTGAAATAGCCAAGACATGGAAACAACCTAAGTATCCATTAACAGACAAAGAGGTAAGAAGGAAATCCTTCCATCTCTGACAGCATGGATGAGTCTGAATGATATTGTGCTAAGTGAAAATAAGACAGATGATGAAAGACAAATACTGTATGATATTACTTAAATGTGAAATCTAAAAAAGGGAATTCATAGCAACAAAGTAGAATTGTGGTTGCTATGGATAAGCAGTAGGGAGTGGGTGTGAATGAGGGGATATTTGTCAAAAGATATAAACTTTCAGATATAAGATGAGTAAGTGTTGTAGATCTAATGTACAGCAGGATGACTATAGTTAATAATAATTGTATGGCATATTTGAAATTTGGTTAAGATAACAGATCTTTTAAAACATTTTTTTTAGTTGTAGATGAACACAATACCTTTATTTTATTTGTTTATCTGTTTTATGTGGTGTTGAGGCTCAAACCCAGTGCCTCACTCATGCTAGGCAAGCACTCTACCCCAACCCCAAGATAACACATCTTAAGTGTCTTCATAACACACAAACAGTAACTTTGTGAGGTAATAAATATGTTAACAATCCTCACTGTAGTCATCATTTCATATCATAAACATACATCAAATCAACACATTGTATATATTAAATATATATAACTCTACTTGTCAATTAAAACTCAATAAAACTGGAAAGATAAAAATGGACTTATTCACAAAGGCTGATCTATCTACAGCCTGTCTACAGAGATCAATGGAATACCTGACGGGGTTCCTGAACCACTTCCCCCATAGAAAAGGCAGAATGTAGGTTTTGCTGGAATAGACACTCACTCTGTATATATATTTGTCTTCTCTACTGCAATTCTTCTGAAACCACCATCTATGAACTTATAGAACCACCATCATTTTATTTACACAGAAACATTGCTTCTAATTCAATGAAATTATTTTGCAGTAAGTGAAGTGTAGCAATCAGCTTATGCTCATGGAATTTATTCATTTTGCTATTTTCCCCATCATCCTGCAGCCAATAGGTAGCAACAAGTGGAATGGGTTTTTGAAGATTAAATAACAGCAATACTTGAAAGGGCTGGGGCAATGTCCTCCAAGATGCTAAATGTACTCTGACTAAAATATAGCATTGTTTCTCCCACAGCCAGAGTTACAGGTCAAAAATCAAGAGGTAGAAATGGGAGTAGCTCATTACTATTACCTCAATAATTTTTTTTTCTTTTTTTTTTATTGTTGGTTACCTCAATAATTTACTAGTCAGTTTTCTGCTATCTATCTCTTTAATCTGTAGCTCTCATGATTTAAAGGTCTGAGTTTCCAAGGGAGAAATATATCTACTAGAAAATAAGCAATGATTCCATACTATGTTGCTTTGATCAAACTGGGGACCATGTTTGACAGAATCTCTCCTCTACATGCTTGTAAACTAAAGCTGGTCAAAGCAGGAACTGCATATGACTTGGCAGGCAGAGGCAAAGTGGCAGTCATTAGTTTCTAAAGATTCTAGTCCAATGTGGTGACAGACATACACTCACTGCCCAGGGAATCCAGCTCCATATCCAGCTCTATTTCCCAACTACTGACTAAGAGCTGCCCTGGGCCATTACTTGGATATACACACAGAGCAAAGAGCTTTCCACAGATCTCAAAAGCTTCCTATTTGAAGTCCCACCTCAAGATCTGGATGGTTGGCATCTCAGAATGCATGAAGTGCCTCTTATCCACCAATTCCCTTCTGAACCCCATTTCCTCGCACAATTGTGTAAGGTCTAATTCCTACCATAAATCCTATAACTCATGAGTGACTCAGCTCCCCTGGCTGAACCTTGAGGACTCAGGAAATCCAGTGCTCTGTGTCATTCAGTAGTTCTTGCTTTAGACTATGTGAAAATGAAGGAAAGTCTCAGAAATAGTAGAGAGTGTAGTAAATGTAGACAAGTTGACAGAGTGATAAAAGTGCCCCCCCACACACACACACACAAAAAGAAGAAAGTAGATATCAGTTTTAAGAATTTTTACCTTTGTATTCTTTACCATAATTGGATATTTCATCCCTGAAAAAAAAGAAAAAAGAATTAGCAAAAAGAGGCTACCATTACTTGAAATATAATAGTAACCAATTTAAATGACTTTCTTTTGTCATAACTCAGCCCTACTCTTCATTCTGAAACTTTTTACCAGGTAGCAAGATTAAACTAGTCCATGCTTGACAATATGTATCTGACAAGCATGTCTTTTAGCTTGTTTTATTTTAACAAATTTAATCTATGCTTATAAACCACCCTATACCTTGGCTCCAACAGATAGTCCCAGCTTTTCAATGAACTACAGTCCTAGAAATCATGTTGTACAATGCGTCATCATAAATCATTACAGAACTAAAACTATGATATGAGAAACCTTAGTGTCTTGAATGATGATTACCCGATTTCTTGCAAGGTCTGAGTTGTTTAGAAAAGCAAGAGTTATCATGACACAAAAGAATTCCAATAATAACTAACCATTTATAAAATTTAGTTTCCTCTCAGATACATGGGAGCTTAAAGTTTTATAAAGCAAATGTAGAGCAAATAAAATATATAATCTATCTGTATCATGAATATGACTTATTAAGCTACCTACGTATGATGGCCTTATTTAACAATTTTGTTCATCATCTTAGAATTTAGAACACTGAGAGAATGATTTAGATGTCCTAGATGTCCTTTAAAATCTGTCAAGGAAGAAAGAACTGTACGTTACTTTTTTTCTCCTCCAAACTTCCCTGTAGCAAATAGAGGGCTCCCAAATTTTTCATTTGGTTAAAAGAAAAGAAAAAAATAATAATGTCCTCAAAAAAACCCAAAATCAAAGTGCAGTCTAAAGTAGGGCTGTTCCGAATGGCTGAGTTTTCTTATGATCTTAGTTGCCATTCTAGAGCTTGGGTATGTTCAAAAATCACTAACTGCTACCTATTCTGAGGCCTTATTCCCAAATAGTCTGTTTCAATAAGTCTAGGTGATGCCAAGTCTACATTTTTAACAAGCATTACCAGGAGATTCTGACTCTAACCTGTAAGATGGAGAAGTATTTGGGTTCTAATTATCTATAAGCAGTTGTGGCAGTTCAGATTTTAAGCACTAGTCAGAATGTCTAAACAGTGCCTAGTTCTTTCAGCACAAAACCCTCCAAGAGTTCTGGCTCTCCTATGTCCAATCTCTCCCTTGTTCCTTCTGCACCCACCTCTCACTCTGCACCCTACTAGCCTATCTCCTGGTGGTCTTCCTACTATACTACCCCAGACAAAAACAATCCCAAGTTTTTGAAAAAGTCAATGAAATTATTCAATAAGAAAAAACAAAGATGGCTTACCATCTATACTTCTTGGAGGGCTTTCTCCAGCCATTTCAATATCTTTTACTTCAAAATTAGTCAAGACAGACCCACCAGCTTCTTGGAAATCCTGGGCAAATGACAAAGCTACCTGCCGATAGTCGACAATACCAGTATATGGACAATCAATAGCCATTAGACCCTAGGACAGAATTATAAAAAAGTTAAATGATACAAACAAGAATCAATAAGGTTTGTTCAAAATTTTATTTTTAGTTGAATTTTTTCTTGTTTATTTTGATGGAAAATACACATTAACATTGTTTGACAAAAATCTGATAGTCCAAAAAAATAACAGAGAAGTTTGTTCCATTAAGTGCTTACTTACATTTGTTAATGAACACATATATATTGTTTTTATCGAAGAAGAGAAATAACACTAGCTAAATAAGAAAATCTCTATTATCAGGAAACAATGCTCCTCTTTAAAGGAAAATTTTTGCCAGGCTCTTCTAACTGCTACAATGATTTTCCCAGTTTTATTCATCCCCTAACATATATGATTCTGAGTTGAATTCCAAAAAATTATGTGTAAGCAGCTCTACTGAAATGTCCCCAGTGGTGTATCATACAATGCCCACACGGAAAACAGAGCATCATTCTAGTAGCTATTCACAATATTTGCAAAGCCCTGAATTGACTGTTGCAGTCCTATCTTCAAGACTACAAATATGGAATGGAGACTTTGTGATTAAATCAAACTTTCTCTTTGGGAAATAGGAAGAATTAACAACCTATTTCTTTGTTTATGTTTTTGGCCCCAGAAGACATGTAGATAACTCTGTAGATAAATGATCTAAATCCATGCTTATTTTATTCTTTGAAGTAAATGTTGAATGTACCATCAGCCTTTTCTAAATCTGAAGAAAACGATTAAGAGTAGAATTTCACACAGTAAGTACAAACTACTTCTGGTAATAGCACCTTGGTAATGACACCATTTTCTGTTGCCTTACTAAGTCTATGACTATATCAGTTCTCCAAATATCCTATAAGAGGGAAACCGCTTCCCAGGATAACTAATGTCCAAATGCTGAGTGCAACGGTCAATTCTGCTGTCCTCTTGCTTGGCCAATACAATAAGGGTCTTGTTGCTGTTTTAAAATATTATCTAAGGGGCTGAGGTTATGGATCAGTGATACAGTGCTTGCCTAGCATGCTTGAGACACTGGGTTTGATCCTCAGCACCAATTAAATGTAAAATAAAATATTGTGTCCACCTAAAACTAAAAAATAAATATAAAAAAATAAAGTAATCTGAAATAATATTATTTTAAACATCTCACTCTTGCATTCACCACCCAATTCACCAACTTCATTACAAACTTAGCCCTTAAAAGCTTTTGAGTTTGCTACCCAGCCTGTGTGACCAGATCATGCTAAGGGTAAAGGCTAACAAAATCAGGCTTTTTATTTCCAGATTACGAGGGCATTTTTAAATATATCATTCCTTCTGTTTCAATACAAGTTGTTACATGTAAGACTACATTAGCCCTACTCACCACCCCACAATCCCTAAATTACAGGTCAATAGTTATAACTTAATTTTAACCTATATATAGTATTTGGAGTACAATAACTCAGAGAGGTAACTTGGAAACAACTCATCTGTTTTGTTCCCTATTTCTGCTTTCCTTAGTCTTTTTTTTTTTTTTTTGGTACTGGGGTTGATTGAACGAAGGGGTGCTTTACCACTGATATTATACATATATATATATATATTTTTTTTTTTTTTTTGAGACAGGGTCTTGCTAAGTTGCTGAGAGTCTTGCTAAATTGCTGAGGCTGACCTTGAACTTGCAATCTTCTTGCCTCAATCTCCCTAATTGCTGGGATTACAGGTATGTGCCACCATACTCAGCTATCCTTATCCCTTTTCTGCTTCTAGAGCCAAGCTCTGCTGAGCTCCAATGGAACACTTTTCATTGGAACTACTGTAATTAGGACATTATGGTATCAGTAAAAGAAGAAATGGGACAGAACAAAGTTGAGATACATCTACACATATACAGAAAATACACAAAGAAAATACTGCAGGGCAGTGGGAAAATAATGATAAATTTTGATAAATGGTGCAGAGTTAACTAGATATCTATAGTGGGGAAAAAATTTGCCTTGATCCATATCTCACACCATATTTGAAAGTCAATTCCAAATGATAAAACAATAAAACTTATAGAAAAACACACAAAGTACCTTCCAGACCTTGGAATAGGCAAAAATTTCTCAAACAGAACACAAAAAGTGCTAAAAATAAAAGAGAAACATATGTATCAATTGCTAAAATAAGTACATTATGAGCTTCTGCTAAGTAAAAAGAAAAGTTACAGGCAGGTAGAAGATACTTGCAATATATATTTAAATATACAAATGATTGCAAATGCATATATATTGGACAAAAAGTCACATTCTTAAAATTAATTAGAATAATTATAAGAAATACAGTAAACCCCAAAGAAAAATAGGCAAAGGACTCAAGTACTTCACAAAAGAAAATACCCAAATGTCCCATAAATACATGAAAATACAGCTGGGCACAGTGGAGGCGCATGTTGCTAATCTCAGTGACTCAGGATGCTGAGGCAACAGGATAACAAGTTCAAGGCCAGACTCAGCTACTTAGCAAGGCCCTAAGCTACTTAGTAAGACCATGTCTCAAAATAAAAAATAAAAAAAGGCTAGAGATGTAGTTCAATGGTACAGTGGTCGACCATTCCTAATCTGAAAGTCCAAGATGTGAAATGATCTAAAACCTGAAATGACAATGTGATGCTCAAAAAGTTTTGGATTTTGCCTGGCATGGTGGTGGTACATACCTGTAATCCCAGCTACTTGGGAAACTGAGGCAGGAGAATCATAAGTTTGAGACTAACCTGGGCAACTCAGTGAGATTCTATCTCAAAACTTAAAAAAAACCAAAACAGTGGGGGGTATAATCGCAGCTACTTGGGAAACTGAGGCAGGAGAATCATAAGACCAGCCTGAGCAACTCGGTGAGCTTCTATCTCAGAATTAAAAATAAATAAATAAAAAACAGTGGAGGGGGGTAGGGATGTAATTCAGTAGTAGAATGCTTAGATAAATGCTTAGATAGAACAGGGTACACATGTGTCTCTGAGCTTCCTTGCAGCCAATGCAAACAGGAGAACACAATCAGTGAAATGATTCAGTGTCCATAAAACAAGCCAACTTGTGCTCAGAAAGAACAAAAATATTCTCAGAACTAATATCTGTGAGGAATTTCTCCTGCTGGTTCTCCGAGCAAGATGTTGTGTAACAGTCAACAACATATGTCCTCAACCACATCCTCAGAGGCCAGACTGAGTGACACAACTGCCCTTCCCATAGGCTAATGCCATAAAAGCAAAACACAATTCAAAGCAAGTAACTGGAGTCAAAGAGTAGGATAGGGAAAGATAACACTACAGTGTAGGTATGCTACTCAGATGGTTTGCAGAGATATAAGGAGTAAGTAGTCTATCTATCCTCTCAAAAACAAGCTTTTGATAAGCATGACCTGGCAGTGAGTTCTAGGTCACTGCTCTCTAAGACAGAAGCCTGGAATCCAGTTCTTTCTAAGTGCCAATAACATGGTAGAAAGTAGGGAACAGGAGATATGCACTACAATAATTGCTGGAATCTGGGGTTGAACTCAAGTCTCTGAAAGATTATCAGTGAAAGATTACATGTAGCGTAACCTATTATTATTCATATTTCAAGAATACAGATATTTTTCACTTTAGCATATTTTAACCAAGATACTCTATAGCCTACCCTTCATATTCATGTCAGGCACATCTTCCCAAAACAGAGATCAGACACTATAGCTACCCTCTTCAAAATTTTTCAGTTCTTCTCCATGCCTACTGGAAAATTTTTAGTTATTAGCATGAATGCCAGTCCCTTTATACGGGCCTTATCCTGACTTTCTAGTCTTATCTTTTATCTCTTCTTACACACCCTAATCTCCAACCACACCTCATCATTCGTGTTTTCCAAACATGCCATAGATATTTGGCAGGATGGGGCACAAATAGGCTGCTGGGAACATTTTAGTACATATGTTTTGGGGAACACAACTTCCTATTTCTATACTTCCTTTTCCCTTTGTTTATATTGCTTGGACTTGATATTTTCTCACAGAGAAACAAGAAATCTGGTGTCCCGTTTTGTGGTAATGCCCTCTTAAGTCAGTCACTTCAGTAATCTGTGCCAGGATTATCTGATTTTATGATCCTTGCCTTCTGTAAATTAATCCTCAGCCTCCATGTAAAAGGACTGAGTCCTAAATGAAAACATCCCTTTGGACATATGCTTTGGCCATGAGCTGATGAATCACTTACCCTACAATATGGCTCCTTCTTTTTTATATCCTCCTGCTGAATCAGTCTCAAGCCTTGGACACCATTCTGCAGGCCCCTCTCATACAGGGCCCGAAGTCTAGGAATTTCTTCTTGTTCAACAGCTACTATTAGCTTCAAAACAATGATAAAAAGCATGGATAAAGTTAAGTATATCATCAGCTATGAAAGACATAAAGTGCATGAAAATCACAAATTTTTACATGGCTCCAATAGGTTTAATTAAGAACTTTTTGTTCATGTATCTACTTCCCCCTTTCTATAGAACTTTACTTTCTTCCTTTACCAAGTAAAGCTTTCTTTTTTTAATATTTTATTTTTTAGTTATAGTTGGACACAATACCTTTATTTTATTTATTTTTATGTGGTGCTGAGGATCAAACCCTGGGCCTCGCACATGCCAGGTGAGCGCTCTACTGATGAGCCGCAACCCATTCCCCAAGAGAAGCTTTCTTAATAAAATTAGAACAAATTTGCAGGCTAAGTCTGTAGCTCAGTGGCAGAGTACTTGCCTAGTACATGTGAGGTACTGGGTTAGATCCTTAGCACCGCCAAAAAATAAACAAAATAAAGGCATTCTGTCTATCTACAACTACAAATATATAAATAAATGATAAAAATAAAACAAGATTTTCCCTAAGTCATGAGATGCAGCTTCAATTTCCACTTCATTATCATCATCTCTACTTGCATCTTGGTCATAAGTAACTCTTATCATTACCACTCCCTCAGTCCCAAAGACAAGAGAAGCACAGCTTGTTTAGCCTTTACATTTTCCAAAAATGGCCTTCTTATTTCTATAAGGAAATGTGAAATACCAGGACATCAAAAGACAGCTGGTAATTCAGTGTATTAGGAAATCACTGGCAGAAAACTATCCCTTTTATTTCCTAGAATAAAATTACAAAGTATTTTCTTTGAATTCTGTTCCAGAGGAAAATAATTAGTATATTCAATATATTCATCAACTTTATTCAAAAATCTTTAACTTCTGGGCAAAGTATTTGAAGGTGAATTTCTTCTTATTTAATAGTTACTAGCAAACATAGCACAGATGTACATTCACAGGTGCATTAGAATTCACAAGTCACTGTTTCATACCACAGAGTCAACAGAATTTCATGAGTTAGTACTTAAAAAAATTTTTTTTTAGTTGTAGATGGACACAATATCTTTATTTTATTTATTTACTTTTATGTGGTGCTAAGGATTAAACACAGTGCCTTACATATGCTACAACCCCAGTCCCAAGGTATTACTTTAATTGAGGTGTAAAGGCCCTTTAAATCAACGAATCATTAACCTTAAAAAGAGAAGAGGAATAAAAGGACACTAATAGAAAGTGAAAATACAATTCACAGAATGGGAGAAAATATCTGTAACCCATAAAACTCATAAAGGTCTGGTTGGTACCCAGAATCCATAAAGAACTTTTACAACTTAACAACAAAAACTGTACAATTTTCTATCTTGCCCTTTTCACTTAACATTTCATCAGAGCCACTTCCCACATTAATAAAAAACAATTTTCAAAGTATCTTTAATGACAACAATGAACTTTTATTCTTAAAAACCATATAAAAAAGGACATCACTACCAACTTTAAATAAAGACTAATAAAGACAAATGCTATGACAACTGCACACCCACAACTAAGGTAATCTCGATGAAATGAATAAACTCTTGGAAAGACACAAACTTCTAAAACTGATTGGAAAAAAGAAAATGAAAATCTATTCAGACCTGTAACAAGTAAGGAGATTGAAAACTTCTCACAAAGAAAAGCCTAGGCATCAAAAGTTTTGCTCATGAATGCCATCAAATGTTTAAAAAAGAATTAATACCAATTCTTCATAAACTCTACCAAAAAACAGAAGAGGAAGAAATGCTTAACTAATTTTATGAAGCCAATATTATCTTGATACCTAACCCAGAATGATGCCTGGCATTTGCCAGAGGGAATGGTTGTAAGGTGACACCAGTGAACCATTGAGATGATGATTTGAGTTAAGCTATTAATTGCTGTAATGCTGGATTGATTGTATTGTATATTTGATCTTTACTGTCATAGGGCACCTCTTGCTGCCTCAAGCGCCTGCTACTTTGGGGGGGGGGGTGTTTCCGGGAGATTGGACAGAGCCCGGTGGAGGGAGTGTGTTCCCAGGTGGCATGTGCAGTGCGGTGAAAGGTGGGGAATAAAGAGTTGCTGTTTGAATCTACAAGGCTTTGTGGCAGCTCGGTTATTTGTGCCCAGCCAGACTTCGACAGACCAATATTTCTTGTAAATACACACACCAAAAAAAATTTGAGTGAGTGGGGAGGGGGTGCTGGGGATCAAACCCAGGGCCCTGCACCTCTTAAGCATGCACTCTATCACCAAGCTGCACCCTCAGCCCTACCATATAAAGACTGGTGCAAAAATCCTAAACAAAACATAAAAACTAAATGCAGTAATATATAAATATCATCTCATGATCTAGTAGGATTTATCACACAGCAAGGCAAGATCAATTTCACATCCAAAAACCAATGAATATAATTTACTATAGTAATAAAGTTCAAAACCACATAACCACTTCAATAGAATCAGAAAAGGCATTTGAGAATTTCCAGCATCCTTTCATGATTAAAAAACAAAAATAAAAACCATTCCACAAGCAAGGAATAGAAAGGAACTTCTTCAGCCTGATAAAGGGACTCTCCCAAAACCACAAAAACAAAAACAAAACAAAAAACCCACAGTTAGTGGCATACTTAAATGGACAAGACCAAAAAAGCAACACAAAAACAACCACTTTTACTATTTCTACCCAACAATGTATTGGTAGTTCTAGCCAAGGAAATTAAGCAAGCAAAATAAATAAATAAAAGGCCTCTTTTTTAATGGTAAATTTGAATTGTCAACTTGGTTGGATTAAGAGATGACTAAGAATAAGAGCCTTCTGGGTGTGTCAATGAAAGTGTGTCTAGGAATGGTGGTCCTGTGGGATGGTGAACAGAAGTGGAGACCCTCCCTAAGTGTGGACAAAGGTTGGGGCTTGGGTGGAAAAAGTTTGGAAGAACAAGGAAGCAGCAGCAGATACAAGCTCAATTCTTCTTGATGGATTCTTGATTGCTGCTGCAATTGCCTGAAGACATCAGACTAAAGCTCCCTCAACTCTTCCAAAGTGGACTTGGCCAGAGATTCTCCAGGGAGTTTCCAGAAGCCTTCAGTGCCAGACTAAGGTAGCATTGTTTATCCCTCCTGTCCTGAGGCTTCAGCATCTTGGACTGTTCAGCTACTGGTTTCTTATCTCTCCAGCCTACAGTCAAGGGGCTACCCAGCTTCTGGTTCTGTAAGCCAAATTAATAAATTCCCTTTTTATAATCATATCTATAACATATATATGTGTGTATATATGTATACACAGATAGATAGATGTCTCCTGTTGGTTCTGTTCCTCTAAAGAACCCTAATACAGCACCCAAACTGAAAAAGAAATGAAACTTATTTGTAGATGACATGATCTTTCAGATAAAAAAGCCCATGAAATATGTACACCTATATTCACACAGTCATACACAATTAGAACTAATGAATTAGTTTGGAAAGACTTCAGGATTTTAAAAAAGTCAATATACAAAAATTAATCATAGTCTATATGTTTAGCAATGAATAATCAAAAATAAAACTAACACAATTCCCTCACAAAAGCGTCAATAAGAATAAAACAATAAGAAACAAATTTAATCAAAAGAGGTCCTTGCTTAAGTGACAGCCACCATTTTCCCACTCAAGGACCTTTCCCAGAGAGGATCACCACTCCCTCATACCAACCCAACCCTTCACCAGGCATTCTTTCCTGCCCAAGGACATATTACCACTCCCTCATATCAACCCCACCCTTAAATCTGCCCTCATTAGGACCTGCCCAGCTCAGATCCCTGAGCCTGGCCATAAAAGTCCCAAAATCCAAGCCTGTCCTGCCTCTCTCTATCTATGGAGATATGGCCTTTATTTATCAGTTCTGATAAATAAACTCTCTTATGTATCTCTGCCTGGTCTCCCTCTTTCATTTAATTTCTGGCTCGCCCAGCTTCTGTTTTCTCACTTTTAGGGCAAGACTGGGGCTGGGGTTGTAGCTCAGTGATAGAGCACTTGCCTAGCAGCATGAGGCCCTGGGTTTGATCCTCAGCACCACATAAAGAATTGATTGTTATGGTATCATAGGGCTTATGTTCAAGTTGTTGGGAAAACATATAACAGCAGCAGCACCCCAGAGAAAAACCCCAACAGGCCATCTAACGACCCTCTTTCTCCTCTTTGTTTCTTTCACTGGCTCGAAACTTCCCGCCAGGCCAATGTTCAAACCCTGCTGGTGGGAAGCCTTAGCCCCAATAAGAATTAACTTCTTGGGCTCCGGAACTGACATATGGAAGAGCTTGCCAGTAAACGGGCGACCTGTTATCTACCTCAGCCCTGTGACCTCTCCTTAGACCTATGTAAACACACAGCCTCTGGTAATAAAGTGGAACCTCTTTGGTGATCTGTGTTGTGTGGTGCGGCGTCTTCCAGTCTTACACAAGTAACTCTTATTTTACTTAACAATAGTTCCAGGGGCTCCTGGCTCAGGAGTAGAGCACCTGCCTAGAATGTGTGAGGCACTGGGCTTCATTCTCAGCACCACATATAAATAAACATTAAAAATAAAGGTCCATTGACAATTATTTAAAGAGGGCAAGACCTATACACTGAAAACTATAAAACATTGTTGAAAGAAATTATAGAAGATCTAAATAAGTGAAAGAAATTTTTTCACGGACCGCAAGATTTAATAATGTTAACATGGCAGTATTCTCCAAATTGATCTACATATTCAATATAATTCCTATCATAATCCCACCTGCCTTTTGGGAGAAATTGACAAATTGCCCTCAAAATTTGTTTAGAAAGGCTGGGGTCCCAGAATAGCTATATTAATCTTGAAAAAGAAAAAGTTGGAGAACTCACAACTCCTGTACTGGCATAAGGAAACACATATTATCAATGGAACTGAGAATCCATAAACATTTTTTGTTCAATGGATTTCTAATAAGGGTGCCAACACAATTAATGTACAAGAAATAGTCTTTCCAACAAATGATGCCGACACAACTAAGTATCTATATGCAAAATATGAAGTTGAACCCCTCCCTCATACCACATATCAAAATTAATTCCAAAGTGATCATAGACTTAAATGTAAGAGCTAGGCTGGAAAACTCTTAGAAGAAATTACTGGAGAAAATCTTTATGATCTAATGTTAGGCAATGACTCCTTAGATATGATATTAGAAGCACAAACAACAAAAGAAAAAAGATAAACTGGACTGTTATGATTTGGATATGAGGTGTCCCCTGAAAACTCCTGTGTTAAGGCAGGAATTTCAGAGGTAAAATGGTAAAATTGTGAGAGACAAAATCTAATCTAGTCTACCTTACTTTTACTAAACTAACTGGGTGGTAACTCTTGGCAGGTGGGGCATGGCTGGAGGAGGTTGGTCACTGGGCATTGGGTACATGACTTAGAAAGATCATCTTCTGCTGGCTATCTGGAGCTGAAGAGCTTTCCTCCACTGTGCCCTTTGGTCATGAATATTCCTCCTTATCTTTGGCCCAGAGCCATGGAGTCAGCCAATCATAAACTGAACCTCGAAACTATGAGCCAAAATAAACTTTTCCTCTTCTAAGTTGTTTTTGTCAGGTATTTTGGTCAATGTATGAAAAAGCTGACTAACACACTGGACTTTAATCAAAATTAAAAACTTTAGTGCTTCAAAGGACACCATCATGAAAGTAAAAAAGAAAAACCTACAGAATGGTATAAAACATTCCAAATCACCTGGGTAATCCAGCAGTTCTCCCTTATCCACCGTTTCATTTTCTGTTGTTTTAATTATCTGCAGTCAACCACAGTCCAAAAATATAAAATGAAAAATTCCAAAAATAATAATTTAAAAGTTTAAAACTGCATATCAGTCTGCATAGCAGGATCCAATCTTGCACAACTGTGTTCCACCTTGTCTAGGATATGAATCATTCCTCTCTCCAGTGTATCTATATTGTATACACTATTCACCCATTAGTCACATTGTAGCCATCTCAGATACCAGATTGACTGTCATGGAATCATAGTGCTTATGATTTTAACTTATTTTAACTTAATAATAGCTCCAGGGGCTCATAGCTCAGTGATACAGCACTTGCATAGTATGTATAAGGCACTGTGTTTGATTCTCAGCACCACATATAAATAAATTTTTTTAAAAAGGTCCATTGACAACTAAAAAATAAGTAATAGCTCCAAAGCACAAAGTAGTGATATGTCAAGTGTCATCTCACATCATCACAAGGATGAATACAGCACAATAACACATTTGAGAGAGAGAGACTAATCACATTCACATAACTTTTATTATGACTTATTGTTATAATTATTCTTTTTATTTGTTATTATTATTACTTTCTTACTTTGCCTATTTTTACATTAACTTTTGTATATGAAACATCAAGGTATACTTAAGATTCAGTGCTATGCAAGGTGTCAGGATTTACAGGGAGTCTTGGAAAGCATACTTTATGGATCAGAGGGGAATACTGTATCTAGAACATATATAAGAACATATACTGCTCAACAACAAAATAAAAAGTAGCTTAATTTTTAAATGATCAAAAGATCTGAATACACATTTTTCCAAAGAAGCTATAGAATGACTGAAAGCACATGAAAAGATGTCAAACCGGATCCAGCAATCCCACTACTGGGTATATCCCCAAAGGAAATGAAATTGAAATGTCAGAGAAATACCTGTACTCCTACATTTATCATATCATTATTCACAATCTCCAAGACATGGTATCAACCTAAGTGTCCATCAATGGATGCATATATAAAGAAAATGCAGCATATTTACACCCTAAAAAGGAAGGAAGTCTTGACATTTGTTGACAACACAAATGACCCTTGAAGACAAAATGTCTTCACATCATCAAGTGAAATAAATCAAGCACAGAAAGACTTATGCTGCATTATCTTAAAAGTAGAGAGTAGAATGGTGGTTATCAGTGGCTGGGGGTGGGTGGGATTAGAAAAATGTTGGTCAAAAGATACAAAATTTCCGTAAGACAAAAGGAATAAGTTCAGAAGATCCATTGTATAAAGTGGTGACTATAGTTACTAATAATATACTATATTCTTGAAGACTGCCAAGAGAGTTTAAGATTTTTAAAATGATAAGTATATGAAGGCATACATGTTAGCTAAATGTAGTCATTCCACAATGGCTATGTTATCATGTACTTATCCAAGTTATCATGTACATATACATACTCATGTACATGATGCACACAATATGTATAATTTTGCCAATTAAAAATAAATTAATTTAAAAAAATGATTATCAACCTCATTAATCATTGGGAAAATACAAATCAAATCCACAATGAATACAACTTCATATCTACTAGAATGGCTAAAACACAAAGACAATAACAGGTATTGATGAGGATATAGAGAAATTGGAATCCTCATTAATTACTTGGGGAAATGCAATGTAATACAGCATTTTAGAAAAGAGTTGGGCAATTCCACAAAATGCTAAAGATGGAGTTTCCCATATGACTCAATAATTCTACTCCTAGGTATATAACAGGGAGAAATAAAAACATAGTCCCATAAAACAGGTACAGAAAAGTCCACAACAATATTCACAACAAAAAAAATGTGGAAACAACTGAAATGTCTATCAACTGATAAAGCAAATTAAAAAAAAAAAAAACACCCAAAATGTGGCACATCCATACAATGAAATATTTAGTCACAAAAGGGAATAAAGTGCTGATTCATGCTATGACCTTTGAAAACACTAAGTTAAATCAGTCATAAAAGACTACATGAAAAGATGCCCTGACATGATTCTACTTATATAAAATGAACAAAATAGGCAAATTTAGAGACAGAACGTACATTAGTAGTTGCTAAGGGATCAGGGAAGGTGGAAATGGGAGTGACTGCTAATTGGTATGGGGTTTCTTTTTGGGGTGAAGAAAATATTCCAAAATTAGATAGTGTTGTGATGGTTACACAATTTTGTGAATAGACTAAAAGCTGAACTGTACACTTTGAAATTGTAAATTACATATTAATGAAGCTATTATTTTAAAAGTTACATGGAATTAGTCATATCATCATTTTTTGTTATTCTCAAATACTAGATTGCACAAATTATATAGATACAGGAAAAGTTTAAAAATTTTTTTAAAAAATTCAACATTAAAACATCAGCAAGAAAAGACTAATAATTACACATAAGTCAAGGCCATAGTAAAATATCATACCTTGCCACACTGCTTGTAGGAAATTCCCTTCTTGTTACAGTACTCATAGATGAGGCCTGCACCTTGTACACACAATTTAGCTTTTAGAGATTCAGGTTTATAATAAATTCCACTATGTATGACACCACTGTTATGTCCAGTCTGGTGAGTAGCTACAGAACAAGAGAAACAGAGTAAAGAGAAAGTCTATGAGTCACACAAAACCTAAAAGGTGAGGAAACAATTACAGTTGATGCTACTAGGTACCAAATCATTTAAAATTCTACTTCAATTTTTTCAGTTTACTGGTAATTTCCTCTAGCAGCTGTCCCTGGTATCCATGTCACATTGCTCCTGCCTATCTCTGATTTCAACTATAACTCACTTCTCTAGAACCAGCAAACCACTTACCAATAGGACTCTCTGCACTCTGTCCCAGGACTTTTTCTATCTTTTAGGGGAAGGGTAGAGGCTGTTCCACATCACTAGGGACAATCCGCAACCAAAAGAGACAACAATTGATAAATAAACAAGCACAATCCTAGAAAACATTACACCGCTCTTTAGAGGTCCCAGTGGAATCAAGCTCACAGAAGCAACTTCAATAAGGCACCCTCCTTCCTTGTCTTACTCTCTCCATCCCCTCACTCCTTCCTGCCTCCTCAGATAACCTCTCAAATAAATTACCCACATACAAGTTCTTGTTCCAGGTTCCACTTTTAGGAGAACCCAAAATAGGCTATTAACATTGACATTTGGCATGATTGATTGGAACTGACAGAACAAACAGGTGCATAAGCAAACCAGAAGATCAACACTGATAACATACATACCTAAATCTTTCTCCTTTTCCAGAACACCAATTGAAAGTGCAGGATGTCGCAGGATAAGTGCTCTGGCAGAGGCAAGGCCCACAATTCCACCACCAACAATGACTATATCAAATGAGCTTTAAGGAAAAAAAAATGGCATTTAAAGAAATTTGTTTATAGTAGATATCACCAAACTTCACATGCACAATTTTCATCATTAGCAGACAATTAAACTATTAATTTATAATAATTGAAATAATATGAATTTAGGTTTTATGCTATTTGGTTTCACTCTCATGTAAAATCACAGACAATGCTTGTCAGTAGATTAATTAACTACAGTCTATTTACTGGCAGGGAGGATGGTTGGTCACCTAAGCTGCACTGTCTCTACAGTACCCCACTTGACCGGTTACATCAGTGATGACTTTTGTGTTACGCATCATACTTTCTTTACCACCTATCCTTTCAAAATTCAAACACAGTATTCTTGAGGACAGCCTAACACATTAAGCCTTTAACATCTTTCTGTACCAGGATTTATACATTTTTTTTCTGTTGAAAAGAAAACAGTGGTAGGAATTTTGTGAAATAGTGGGTCCAGAATATGCTAGAACCACTGAAGTAAGACATTGCAAATTAAGACTACAATGAGATATCACAAAATCTCTTTCAGAATGACTAAAATGAAAAAGTAAAAACACCACATGCTGGTGAGGATGAGGAAAAACTGGATCACTTACAGATTAATTACTGCCACTCCCAAAGAGTAAGGCGATTTCTTTAAAAAACTAAATATGCACTTACTACATGACTCAGCAACTGCATCCTTGAGCATTTATCCCAAAGAAATGAAAGCTTATGTTCATAGCAGTTTTATTCATAATAGGCAAAAACTGCAAACAGTCCAGAGGTCCTTCAACTGGTGAATGGTTAAACAAACTGTAATGCATCCGTGCCACGGAATGCTATTCAAAAATGAGAAGAAAAAAAACCCACTATCAATATTGACAACATCTTAGATTGATAGATCTCAAGGACATTATGCTGCATGAGGAAAAATTAATATCAAAAGGTTACACACTGTTTTTTATTTATATATCATGATCAAAATGACAAAATTATAGTAATGGAGTATGGATTAGTGGTTGCAAAGGGTTAGGAAGAGTGAAGTCGTAGGGTGTGAATATGAAGGGGATATGGAACAAGGGATATGGAACAATTCTATATCTTAATTGAGGGACTTGTTACACAAATAAACACATATGATTAAATTGCATAGAAAGCGCATAAATTGTATACACATACACAAACACAAAAAAGAGTGAATGTAAAACACTAATGAAACCTGTACAAGGTCTGTGGATTGTGCCAGTATCAAATCAATTTTCTACTTTTGATATTGTCCTACAGTTCTATAAAAATGTTATCATTGCCGTAAAAGTGTGAAGGCTCTGTACTATTTTTGCATCTTCCTATGGATCTATAATTGTTTCAAAATTAAAAATATTTTTAAAAATTTCACTAAACCTACTTTTTTTCCCTTAAGAAAGGCTTCCCAAAAGAATGGTCTACTTTTGGCACAACCAATCATTGACACTGTTAACTCCTGTCCCTTTCCAATTCACTACCACATAGTAACCAGAGTCAACAATTGAAACAACATTTAATCTCTCCCCTATTTTAAACCTTTTTAATAGTTTCCCATGGCTCTTAAATAAAAATCAGTGTGTAGTTAAAATTAAATCCCTGTTGTAACATAGCAGGTGTCATTCCATGCTTCCTGTCTTCCACTAAGCTCCAGTCACACTCATTATTGCCCACCTTCAAATCCTCAAAATAACCAAAAGAAACACCCTTAATGCCTTCACACAAACTGTTCCTTCTAGGAGAGGACAGAAAGTCAGTGGTTTCAAATGTGAGCTCCAAACATCTAATTACAGGACACTGAATTTTACTGGCTTTTAATAGGCAACGGGGATGCTTCGCACAAGGACAAATGGCCGATTTAAGCCCGATCCAAGCAACACCAGGGATACCAGCTAATAAACAGTATATTTGATTGCTTACAGTGTGCTAGATCTTTTTATCCTCAAAACGATCGCGAACAGGAGAGACGAAGATCCTATTCACAATTCAGACTTTTAATTAACCCGCCTATAGTTGAACATAACATGGGAAGGGTGTATGGAAAGCCAGACCTGTTCCTGACCTCCACTCAACAATGTCTCTCCTCCGGCCCATAAATACAGCGAATAAACTCGCAGCTCCATAGCTCCTAAGGTCCAGCTCTACAGGATCCCAACCTTCTCCTAGGCCCCGCCTGACAAGGAAGTACCAGTAGGTGTATAAATTCAGCATGAGGCACCACTGAAAGCAGCGACAGCCCAGGCGGCGGGGGCGGGTCATTTGCCACTCACCTGCTGCTAGCACTGCGGACAGCCCCGCAAAGCGGCCAGGGCCTTCCCGACGCCGGCCCGCACACCCCGGAGAAGCTCCCGGGGAAGCCCCCACGGGCCCGTCCGCAGGCACCCCCCAGGTAACGCAGCACCGGTACCATCGCCTACACCCACTCCCCTTGCTCGGCCCCTAGAGGTGGCAGCTTTAGCCCAATAGTGCCCGAGTCCCGCTACTCTCTAACCCCGCCCCTCAAGCGGGGACCAATGAGACGTGCGTTTTCACCACACGTGGGAGCGGCGGGCGGCTGCCAATGGGCGCGCGCGGCGGAGGGCGAAGGGCAGGCCGGCGCGCCGTAGAAGCGTGGATGCCGGCTCGCTCCCTCCCTCCCTGCGACGCTGTGAGTAAAGGACTTAGGCCCCGCGCGGGGCGGGACTAGGATAGTGGTTATTGCTCGCCCCTTTCCCTTCTCCCAAACCTGGCTAACTGAAAAGCGAGCCGGGCAAATCTCGCGTCTTCGACTTTGACCGCCGAGCGGATCGGGCCTCGGGGAGAAAGCCTGGGAGTGATTACGGTGAACACTCCTCCGGGCGGCCCGGTCCCTTCCCGGTCCCTCGGTCCCGCCCCTGGGCTGCTGGAGGGTATTGCTGGGCGGACGCTCTCTGCCCGACCCTAGCCCTGGGGGCTCTTTGTCACGGCCACGCCCAGTAGCCTGCAATCTCCAGGACTTCTTGCCTGACTCTTGGCGGTGCCATTCATTCAGTTATTGATTTGCCTTGTTAATATCGAGCGCCTACTATACTGGACCGAGCACTGAGTACTGGATGGCCAGACAGTTTAATCTCGCCATCATTTACCGATCTGTGTCCTTTTCTCAGTTTTAAAAATGCTCTCTGGAACTCGGAACAGCGAATCACCTGTGCATGTCACTTCATCGCAATTTCCTTATCTGTAAAATTAAGGCGATGGGCTATATAATCTCTAAAGGACCTTCTAACTGTAAAATTATGTGATTTTTTTTCCTACCATCCCAGTATAATACTTAATTATCTCTGCTTTGTGATAGTTTTTAAATTTTTAGGATCAGGAGAACTGATAAAATAGAACAGTATAACTTTATTGCTGGGAGGACTTAAGGCTGTTTTCCAGTCATTAGGTACCTCTGGGAAGTCACTTAACCTCTTTGCCTCAGACCCTTCTCTGTGAACATGGGTCTTTTAGCAGACTGTTTGAGAGAAGGCTCATCAGATCTTGAGCACAGTGAAGCACACAATTGAAAAGAGAAGATGGCTATTTTAAAAATTCAACATATCTTGAGATATTGGTAGTGTCTCATGCAGTTCAGGAAATAATGGAGATCCTGCATACCTTTGGCCCATCTTCCCCAATGATAAACCTTGTAAAACTATAGTACACTATCACAACCAGGTAAACTTATTCAGATTTCCCTAGTTTTACATTTGTGTGTGTTTCCATAAATTACCATCATGTGTGTAGATTCATGTTTCTACCAACAGGTCAAGATACAGCACAGTTCCATCACTACAAGGAACCCTTCAGATGCCTTTGTATAAACTACACCTTTCCCTCATAGCCCTCCCTCAAATTTTTTCTTTTTCCCTTCTAACATTTTGTTATTTAAAGAATATTATGTAAGTGTAATTTTACAGCATGTTAACTTTAGGGGATTGACCTTTTGCATTTAGTGTGATCCCTTGATATTCATCCACATCATTGGGTATATCAAAAGTTCATTGCTTTTCACTACTGAGTATCAGTTCATAATATGAATGTACTACAGTATGATTAACCTTTCACTCATTGAAGGACATCTGAGTTGTTTCCAGATTTAGAGTGTCATAAATAAAGCTGTTATGAATTTTATTGTACAGCTTTTTTGTGTGAACCTGTTTTTATATCTCTAGGATAAGTGTTCAAGAGTCTGATTGTTGGGTCACATTGCAATCACATGTTTAATTTTGTAAGAAACTGCCAAACTGTTTTCCAAAGTGGCTGTACCATTTTATATTCCTACCAGCTATGTTTGATCCAATTCTCTTCATTGTCACCAGCATTATGTGTTCTCACTATTTTTTAACTTTTAGCCATTCTGATAGATGTGTATGGAGGTGGTTATTTCTTTATTTTGCACAGGGTATAGTTGATTACAGAATTATGTACTTGCAGGGGCCAATTCCCCCCCCCCCATAGGCCATTTGGGCCCATAGTAGTGTTTTGTTTTGTTTTGTTTTCAATTGTGAATTCAAACATGTGCTTCTTAGTTTAGCAAGGGTGAAAGTACTGGAACACACATGCCCTTTCATAAAATTTTCTCTGCTTGCTCTCCCTTACAATTTGAATAGTAGTTTATTTTGGTTAAGTAATTTGAGCTGTCTTGCATTCATATACCCTGTAACATTTGTGGGTAGAAACTTTTGTATTCCTGACACTACCTTTCTTGAGAGTTTATGTTCAACTTGTCTATGTAACAAGTTAGTCAATAAGTGTCATTTGATAGCCTCAGAACAGTATTGGGTATCTTTGCTTCCAACTCCTAATGAATTGCTCTGTTGATCTGTTTCATTTGATTCTAGATACCCCAGTAATAAGAACTAGAATCAACAATGGGTGATGTACAGCGCTACAAGGTTGTAACTAAGAGAAAAAAGTCTCTCATCCTGTTGCCCACTCCCGTTTACCACTCTCTAGAATTAGTAGTGTATTACTGGGAAGTGAACCTAGGACTCTTTTTTTAGGGGGGTGGGGGATGGTACTGGGGATTGAACTCAGGGGCACTGAGCCACATCCCCAGCCCTATTTTGTATTTTATTTGGAGACAGGGTCTCACTGAGTTACCTAGGGACTCATTAAATTGCAAAGGCTGTCTTTGAACTCATGATACTCATGATTCTCCTGTCTCAGCCTTTCCTGCTGCTGGGATTACAGGCATGTGCCTGGCTGAACCTACGACTCTCTACCACTGTGCAACATCCCCAGCCCTTTTTAAATAGCCCAGTCAGTAATTGCATTTAATATATTAAATCATAACTCAGTTTAAGAAGATCTTACTGCCTTCATGAAAACAAGGAAACTCTCAATCAAACCTACTCATGAAACACTTTGTATATATCCTTTTTATTTTTATATTTTGTGGTGCTGGGGATTGAACCCAGGGCCTTGTGCATGTGAGGCAAGCACTCTACCAACTGAGTTATATCCCCAGCCCATTTTGCATATATCCTATTGTGAATAATACATTAGAGGTGTGACTGTCTCTAAATCACAAACATAATTGCAGCTTTTAGAAACACTGCTACAAACTTATGGCTCTAAACCAAGTTCTGATAGCAATAAATTTGTTTTGCATAATTTGAATTCCTATGTTATTTATGGCACCAGTAATTCAGTACTTATTTTCTAACTTGGTTGTAATTGTTTTCTTTCCATTTTATCAGAGCCAGATACACTAACTTACCACTAGAGGTCCTCTTTCCCTATAGAAAGCATTCTCAGGGTAGCTGCTGCTTGACGCTGTAATTCCCCAAGTCTCAAGTAGCAAAGTTGCAATTAAGAATGTAAACAAACACAAAAAACTCTACTGTTTGTTTTAACCTTTATTGCCAAGTCTAATTTCAATTTTCATGTTTAAATTATTTAAAATATAAAACTAGTGTTTTTAGAGGTCATAGCTGATGTAAATTAGGCCTTCCCTTTAAACTGAATTAATGGGCCAAAATGAATCAAGTGAAAGTATTCAATTTTCAAAGACCACATCACCTACTTAATAACAGTTTCTTTGGTTTGACTTTTATCCATGGAAATTTGTCAACCATTAAAGACTTTCTTAACAAATATTTATTAAACTTTTACATTAAGCTGAGGAAAATAGAAATGAATGAGACCTTTGGTCTTCCTCCTCCTCTGCATGCTTCTTTTTTTCTTCCTAACTAAAATTCTTAGTCATTAAAATCCATCTCAAAAGACACCTCTGGTGTGAAGCTTCCCCTCACTCCCTTTTCTATGCTCATGTGGACTTGTTCACACCTCTCTTAAGATTCCATGTTGGATATTATTTGTTTACATGCCATTCATCTTCTTTGTTATACTGTACATTTTATGAGGACAGAAACCAGGACTTTCTCTCTTCTCTATAGCTTTTGTTATTGTTTTGTCTTATCATTATTATTTTTTTGCAGTAAGTATAGCAGACATTCAATAAACATTTATTAAGTGAATGAATGAATGAGTGGGCAGATGTGGCATTTGAGTAACTTCTTGAGATTGGGTAAGATTTCAACAGGATTGGATGGAAGGTAAATAAAGGGAATAACCTGTGTAGAAGCTGGGAAAGCCCAGATTGAAAATGAGGTTGGCAACCAATGTAGTTGTTAAAAAGGTAGGTGTAGGTGGAGAGTGCTTTAACAAAAAGCTGAAGAGCATTTAGAACATTGGTAGCAGGGGCAGAGGTTTGTAGTAATGAAGACAGAGTGATGGCGGAAACAAAATGAAGTGGGAGCTAAGGATGTAGCTCAGAGGTAGAGCACTTGTCTAGCATTCATAGACCCTGGGTTCAATGGATAGCAACATGACGTGGGGAAAGAGAGAAAAGAAATAAAGAAGGCAGTAGGTGATTCCAGGGTTCTGTCCTCAGTCTTCATCTCTCATTGTTCCATTACCTCTACATCCACAGTGACTTCCACAATTTCTTCCTCTTTAGTTCTAGATCATCTGATGATTAAGGAAAGGTCCCTGTATTGGTTGGTTTTAGAGAAACTGGGTTTAGGTTTCAGCACTGACACCAATTAGCCATGAGACATTGAGCAAGTCCCTTTAAACACATGCATTTATTAATGCCCCACCTTGTTCCAGAAAGGATTTAGTGTGTCAGCAAGTTACTTAATATCAGGGCTTCAGTTTCCTCATCTCTAAATGAGAGGTTGGTCTAGGCAATCTAAGTTCCTTCCAGCTCTAACACTTTGTAACACTGATTCCAGTAATTTGATGGTCATCTCTACTTAGGAGTCTTGCCAACATTTAATACTTAGAATATGAAAAAAAAATAAAAAGAAACAAAACAAAACTGAGCTCATGAGAGGCTAAGGCAGGAGGATGGCAAGTTTGAGACCAGCCTCAGCAACTTAGCACGACACTGTCTCAAAATTTAAAAAAAAAAAAAAAAGTTTTTAAAGGCCGGCCAGGGATGTAACTCAATGGTAAAGTGCCCTGGATTCATTCAATTCC